CCAGAGGACCCAGATTGGCTTCTTAACGCCCTCTGCTGGTCTCCAGAGGCACTGCATGCACATGAACCGCACAAAAATACATTCAGGGAAACGGCCATTAGCATAAACAAAGAGTAGATGAACAATGCTTTTACACTGAACTCTTGCTTCGTGTGGAACCTTCGCGTAAATCGGCATCTTTCTCTAAGACCCCATCAGCCTCGCTTCAGTTTCGGTTAGCTGTTTTGAAGACTCCCTAGTAATAACCATGTTGTGGGCCAAAGATAGCGCTCCTTCCTCACCAGCAACAGCATTCACATGGCTTCTCTTTCTTGCCTGCTTGTTTAACCGGGAGACCCTAGGCCAGTGTTCGATGGACGTAGGAAGGTTGGACAGCCTTACCAGGCACTCGGGAAGAGGCCCAGACGTCCTCCTTCAGACACCACTGATCCACAGCGGAAAACTCTGGGCAACTCTTGTTTGTTGAAAGATTTTTAAAACATTTTCATCAAAAATGGGTACTTTTGTCCAAAGTTGTGGGGTTTTTTTCCCCCAGCTATCAAAATAGTTACTTGCTTCCGTTTTTACACGAGCTGATTTTAAAACCGCAAACTAATCTTGGATTCTAGAATATAAATCTAGAAGACTGAAGTAAAGATTAAAAATTTCAGATATATATGCTTTGTTTATACACATGCCCACTTTAAAACATTTTTATTTAAGATAAGTGTGATGGCATATGTCTTTAATCCTAGCACTTGGGAGGCTGAGTTCAAGGTCAGCCTGTAGATTGAATTCTGGGACAGGCAGGGCTACACAGAAAAACCCTGTCTTAAAAAAATAAAAACAATGGATTCTCTGTTAACACATATATATATAATAGGTATGTGTGTGGTGGCTCATCGGGAAGTCAGAGGACAACTTGCAGGCACCGGTACTCCCTTTCCACTATGTGGGTCCTGGGGATTGAACTCAGGTTATTAGGTTTGATGGCAAGGGCCTTTACCTCCTAAGCCATTTTGCTGCACCACACACACACACACACACACACACACACACACACACACACACACAATTTTAAGACGGGATCTCATGTAGCCCAGCTTGACTTCAAATTTAGCTCTGTGGCAAAGAATGACCTTGAACTTCTGTTTCTGCCTTTACCCTGTCCCAGTGACAGGGTCATAGGCACGCATCTCCATGCTCAGTTATGTGGCGCTGGGTCTTGAACCCAGGTTTCGTGCGTGCAGGCAACACTGCCAGCTGAGCTCCGCCCCAGCTGTTAGGTTGATTTCGTCTCTATGTTAAGGAAGGATAATGTTATAGACCCTTCTTGCAATACCCTTGTCTGGTTTTGCTGTCAAGCGAACCTGATAAACACTCGGGAGCATCCCTTTGGCTCCCTGTGTAAGAATGAATGCAGAACTGGCTGGTGTGAAGGATCTAACCTACATCCCACTGCCACGAGGGTCTAGACTGTCTTCTGCAGGAGGGTTTGTAGCAACAGCTGTAGTCATGGGTGCAGGGCTGTGAGGTCATCAAGTCCTAGCAGGAGCTCTGGCCATGTTAGACGTTGAGGGAATGTGTACATTTCATGTAACTTATTACATTTATCAGCATGAAGTCATTTATAATGTGCTCCTCATGTCTCTGGGGTCCACAGTGATGTCCCCGCTCATTCCTGGTAGTTATAAACTTTGCAGTTGTCTTCCTGGCTTTAAGTCTGGCTGGAGGCCTATTGATTTTATTAAATTTGAGACAGCTTTTGCTTTTATTGGTTTTCTGTATTAGTTTTCTCTTTTCCATTTCATTGATTTCTATACACTTGTTTATTATTTCATTTCTATTGTTGCTTTGACTTTTATTTGCTTTTTTCTCAAGTTTCTTAAAGCAGATGATCAGGCCCCTTTGCTTTTTTAAGTAGATATGCATTTAATTGCTGTCTACATCCCTCCTGTTTTAGCTACATCCCGTAATTTTGAATATTGATGTTTCATCTTTATTTACTTCAAAATGTTTTTTATCTTTCTTTGGAGACTTAATTCCCTCATCTTTGGATCACTCCAGTTTATTTTTAGAGAGTTGCCAGATATTTTCCCATTACTGATTTTTGTTTGGTTTTTATTCAGCGTGGTATAAGAACACACTGCATATGATTGAAAATCTCCTAAATGTACTGACATCTTTTTATAGCCAGAAAATATGGCTCACTTTGGCAAGCATCTCTTAGATTTTGAAAAGGTTGTGTTTTCTGTTTCTGTTGGTCTACAGGGGTCAGCTACATCAGATTGGCCAACAGAGGTGACCTTTGTGTCTTCTTTCCAGGTGCCGTCATTTACTGAAAGGGCAACATTCAAATCTCACGTGTGTTTCTAGTTTCTCCTATGTCTCCTGCAAATTATATAGGCTCTTAACCTGTACACTTTCAGGTACATAAGTAGGTACATATACCTCTAGAATTGCTACATTTTCTGGATGAATTCCAATTGGCTACTCTGTCATCAAGAAATATTATACCATTATACATAGGGAGTAGCAAGGTAATTCTTGGTTAAGAGCACTGGCTGCTCCTTCAAAGGACTGTGGGTCAGTGCCCAGGGCCCACACGGTGACTCGCAACCATCTGTAACTCCAGTCTCAGGGGATCAGTGTCCTTTTCTGGCTTGCATGGGCACCAACCATGCACCAGGAATGCGTGCTAGGCAAGCACTCTACCACTGAGTCGTGGTGCGAGAGAATTGTCTGTATTCTGTCAATCATGTTTTAAATAAACGCTGACTGGCCAGGCAGGAGGTATAGGTGGGAAAACCAGACAGGAAGTGGAAATGATGCAAGGAGAGCAGGAGAATTCTGGGGAGGAGGAAGTTGATTCTTCCCACTCCTGCCCAGACCACTGAAGCAGCAGGATGTGAGCTGCCCCACTGAAAAAGGTACTGAGCCACATGGCTAACATAGATCAGAAAAATGGGTTAATCAAGATGTGAGATTTAGCCAATAAGAAGCCTGACCTAATGGGCCAATTAGCTTTATAACTTATAGAGATCTGTGTGTGATTTTTCTCTGGGAGTAAATAGCTGGGGAACAGGGCAGGACAAAAACCCCAACAAGCAAGCCTCCATCATGTTACAGAGCTGTGTCCCCCAGACCTTTCAAGGTCAAATTTTAGAAAATATGGAGACTCTGTGGTGCCTGTCCCTTCAAGGGTAGCCTTCTAGTGTCCAGGTACTGGGACTAGGTAGGTAATCTCTGTCATCAATCAAATGGTGTTTATGAGAGCAATGGGCAGGCTTAGGGCCTACCCCTGGGAAAGGAGAACAGGACAGGGAGGACGGATAACAGCCCCAAGGAGAACAGAATCTTTTTCACACTGGAAGAGCCCTGAAATGCCACAGCAGCACTAAATCACCCTCCATGGTTGTATGCTTAGCAGACACTTTCAAGATTCCCTACCAGCTTCTGAACAGCAGGCTCACAGTCACTTGGCCACATGCACGGAGCCAGCAGCGAAGACTGGCTCGTGTTATAGTGTTCCTGGGACTGTGTGGGCTTTCTGGCCTTGAGTAGGAAAGAGTAGGAAAGGGAAGCACAGACTGGGGAAAGGTCCCGAGTCTCTCAGGCTCGCAGCGAGACTTGATTCGGGGCCATAGTATTTTATATTTAACATTGTTCCTTCTGAGGCAAGGCAAAAAGAGTAAGAAAATTTAACGAGGTGGCCTTGGTATCAGAAACCCTGCCTGAAGGGAACTATTGCTTCATCTTTCCAGCTGCCAGGCTCCCCTTGCTTCTGTTCTTTGCCACAGACACAGCGTTGATTGCTTTTTGTCAGCTTGACACAAACCTAGATATATCTGGGAAAGGGAACTCTCAGCTGAGGAACCGCCTCCATCAAATTGCCCTGTAGACAAGTCTGGGAGATATTTTCCAAGATAATGATTGATGTGGGAGGGCTCAGGATGCTGTGGATGATGCCATCATTGTGGCCCTGGGCTACACAAGAAAGAAAACCAAGTGAGCCAAGAAGCAAGGCGATAGGTAGCACCACTTCCCGTGGCCTCTGCTTTGATCCCTGCCTCCAGGTTCCCGCTTGACCTCCCACCCTAACCTCCCTCAGTAAGAGACTGTGAGAGGGCGTGGAGGCCACACAAACCCTTTCCTTCCCTAAGCTGCTTTTCATCGGAACAGTTAACACAGCAACAGAAACGCAAACTAAGACAGACAATATAATTCTAGATTTTTCTACCACTTAGAAGTGCACAGTCACCAAGCTTGCCTGCAGAGGAGGACATGGCTGCTCCAGGTATCTGTATTACTCACAAACACAGACAGCAGCATGTCCTTTGAGAACAGGGGAAGTGACAGAGGCGAGGTTCTGTGGAGCAGGGCTTGTTCAGTCATGGGTCAGAAGTGGGTTCTTGCCCTCAGACGAGGGTTTACCTGGGATTTCTCACCTGCAATGTTCCTGACAGAATCTTCCACCTACTGCTAAAGGCACTGGATCAGGAGAGCCAGTCAAGATGATGCAATAACAGCCTAGTGGCACAGGTCTGTAATCCAGCTACTAGAGAAACTGAGGCAACAGGATTTCAAGTTCAAAGCCTGCCTACATTACCAAGTGAGTTTGAGGCCACCATGGATATTTTAGACTTATTGGGGCTGGTGATGTGGCTCCATGGCCAAGCACTCACTGAGCGTGTGTGTGAAGTCTAGGTGGATTTTTCTTTGGGCTGCCAACTCACAAAAAACTGCACGGAAACTTAATACTTATGAAAGATTGGCCTATAGCTTAGGCTTGTCCCATTAGCTCTTATAACTTAAATTAACCCATTTATATTAATTTATGTTCTGCCTTGAAGCTTTGACCTTTCCTCCTGCATGTCCTGCTCCCCCTGCATCCAGCTGGCAACTCCACCTTTCACTTCTTCCCAGAAGTCGCGCCTAACCTCTTCCTGCCTGGCTATTGGCCATTCAGCTCGTTATTAAACCAATCACGGAGACACATCTTCACACAGCGTAAAGGACTATTCCGCATCGGTGAAGTACTAACCCGGTATTGCAAAACTAAAGCACACAGTAGCGTGCCTTGTGTCTGAAATGAGCTTGCATACTTGCCGGTTAACAAGCACATAAGTCACAAAGAAGCCCAGAATTCTGTGCCTCTGGACACCACAGCCTGAATGAGGCTCCCACAGGTACGTGGTAAGAAAGACAGAAAGCCTGGAGGGAAACTCTCTTTACTGTTTGGGTGTGAAATGTTCCCTCACAGGCTTAGGCATTTGAACATTTGCTTCTCAGCTGGGGCACTATTTTCCTGATGTGGAACCTTTAAGATGTGAGACCTACCCGGAGGGAGCTGGTTTTGGAGGTCACCTTTAAGATGTGAGACCTGCCTGGAGGGATCTGGTTTTGAAGGTCCCCTTTAAGATGTAAGACCTATGGAGGGAGCTGGTTTTGAAGGACACCTTTAAGATGTGAGACCTGCCTGGAGGAAGCTGGTTTTGGAGGCCACAGCCTTGTGCTGTTTCCTGTTTTGCTGAGAGGAAAGGAGTCCCGGACCTTGCTTTCCCACACTAGGGAGCATCCTGTATGCCATCCCCCTCATGGTGGACATGACAGTCACACCATGAATCGAAGTAGATCCTTCCACCCGGAAGCTGCCCGTTGGCTATTTGCCAACGAGAGAGCCTGTCAGCCACCATGGTGGCTCCTTCCTGGGCACTCATGAACCTCCCTCAGGGTAAAAATGACCCTCACTGGTTTCCAGATGTGCCTGGGAAAGCCCCCCACAACAGCTCCAGCTTCTAATTTCTATCCGTCAAACCCACCCCCAAAACCTGTCCAGAAGGACCAGGTTTCTGCCCCAAAAGCAGAAAAAATTTTAAATAATGGAATATCAAGGTGTGCTGGCACATATTTGATGTCCAGGTACTCACACTCGGGAGGCTGCGGCAGGATGACCACAAGTTCAAGACCACCCTAGGCAAGAGAGTGAGACCCAGTCTAAGAAAAACAAAATTTCAAAGTAAACAAATAAATAATGTTAATTTAAAAACAATGGGTGAGCCCTGGCTGATGAAAAGTAGGAAAGGACAGATTGCTTGCTTTTTCTCCTTCTTCAACCTCGACGCCTGCTCTGAGAAACACTGGCTCTCCACACCTCCAAGAGACATCCCAGTGGATGGGCAGCTGATTATCTTTTTATTTTGCTGATTTTTTTGAGAGTTTATTTAACTTCAACTTCTCAACTTTGTTTGCCCAAAGCTGTGAGAATTGTAGAGGAATGATGTGGTCTGCTGTGGAACAATCTTTTGGTACACTGTAAATATGCATTATTCTCATTGGTTGACAAAGAGTTGACTGGCTAATAGGTTGAAAAATGCTAGGCAGGACTGTCCAACAAAAAGCGAGCACAGGGTCGAAGAAGACAGAGTTGCCAGGAGACTCAGAGGAAGCAGGAGATGAACACGGCATATTGTGAAAAGATACCAAGCCACATGGTAGAACATAGTTAGAAATCTGGTTGATTAAAGTTGTAAGAGCTAGTTAGTAACAAGCCTAAGCTATCAGCCAAGCATTTATAATCAATGATAAGTCTCTGTGTGGTTATTTGGGAGCAGCTGGTGGGACAAAGCTGATCAGTGGTCCTGACAAAAAGATCCCCCAAAAAAACTCCACATACAGTAGTAGAGGGTCGCTCTAGACCACCTGGGGTCACTTCTGACTCACACACTGATGTGGGAAGCTAGGAAGAGAGAAAATTGAAACTTTCTATGAGTTTAAAATATTCTGAAAATATTTAAGTATAAGGGAGTTGGGAACATAGAGACCATAAGCCTGCAAGGAATGCTCAGAAATTTGAGTGAGTATAACTGGGATATTCTCTACCACTCTATGCACTAGCGTGTGTGCAGAAGGAAAGTCGAGATTTAGAAGAAAAAAAGATAACATCATCTGGAGAATTCAAGAGATAGAGAAATACTGGAGGAGGGAAAAGGGAAGGGACTTGCCACCATGAATCTTCTGATTTCTTTGTTTTGATTTGGGTCATGTGGGGGCCAGAGGGCAACTGTGGAAGTCATCTCTCCCTTTCCCCATGATCAAACCCAGGTCACCAGATTTGGCAGCAGGACCTCTACCCACTAAGCCACCTTGTGGACCCCAAATTTTCTAATTCTAAACCACTGAATTCAGAAGGGTGTCCAGACTGAAAAAAAACCTGTGTATTAATATCAGTGCTATAGGGCTGGAGAGATGGCTCAACAGTTACAATGTCTGTTGTTCATCACAGGAACTAGGGTTTGGATCCCAGCACTCATGTCCAGCAAATCCCCTATAATTCCAGCTCCATTGGATCCAGTACCCCCCCCCCGGCCTCTGCAGGAGCACAGCTATAGATTCCTGCATGGACACAGGCACACATAAATAGAACATTTAAGACATATTATTATAATAAAATGAAATGATTGTAAAATCCAACCCAAATTCTCCATGCAGAGAAACAAAACAGAGCCAGGTGCTGGTGGCAAATGCCCTTAATCCCAGCACTCAGGAGGTAGAGGCAAGCAGATCTCTGTGAGTTCAAGGCCAACCTGGTCTATAAGAGCTAGTTCCAGGACAGGCTCTAAAACTACAGCAAAACCCTGTCTCAAAAAAAAAGAAAGAAAAGAAAAGAAAAAGAAAAAGAAAAAAGAAACAAAACAGAACAGGTGTGGTAGTATACAATTTTAATCCCAGCACTCAGGAGGTAGAAGCAGGGAAATCTCTGTGACTTGATGTCAGCCTGGTCTACACACTTCTAGGAGGGGCAGGGCTACATAAAGAACCCTGTCTCAGAAATGAAGAAAGGGAGGGAGGGAAGGAAGGGAGGGAGGAAGAAAGGAAGGAAGAAAGAAAGAAAGAAAAGAAGGAAGGGCCAGGTGTAATGACTCATGCCTTTAATTCCAGCACTCGGACAGCAGAGGCATCAGTTTCTCTGTGAGATCAAGGCCAGCCTGGTATACACAGTGAGTTCCAGTACAGCCAGAGCTATGCAGAGAGAACCTATGTCAAAAAAAGGAAAGGGGGGGGGGAGAAAGAGAGAGATGATTCCAACTTTCCCCCAAAATAGTTTAAGTAAAGAGATGATCCGGCACAATGCCCTTGGGAACACACAGATCCACATTCTGTTTGAAAGTCATTGGCAAGGAAAATTAAAATTAAATATTAACCTCACACAAAGCAACCTACAATCCTGTTGCCAAATACCAATCATTACTAGAGGTCTTCATCAAAGACACAACACTAGTACTCCTAGGGATGAAGCCGTCTCCACTCTATTTTCAGCAGACCATACTAACTCCTGTATTCCCTGCCTTCCTTTTCCCTCTCATCACTTCCCAAAGGAAAGATTTCTTTTCCCTAGTTTTCCTCCAATGAACAGTAGTGGCCTCGACCCCTGGAAAGGGAAAGGATGACAATTGCACCCTGCATGTGAAGCTGCATAGCTATCACTTCATACAGGGTTCTATGGGTTTCTTATTCAGAGAGAAAACCAGATCTCTACTGGGAACAATTCATATTAAGAACAGTTTGCCCATTTTTTAAATTTATTATAATTATTGTACGCATGGTTTATGTGTACATAAATGTAGGTGACTTCAGAGGCCTGAAGTGTCAGACTCCCCTGGAGCTGGAGTTGCAGGCAATTATGAACTGCTTTGGGTGCTGGGAACTGAGCTTAGGTCTTCTGAAAGAGCAGTATGTGCTCTCACCTATAAGCCATACAAGATCCTGAACCCTGACACACCCTTTATGTGTATGGTGTGGCATTGGTGGTACAGTGCTAGGCATTGCTGCCTTCCAATTCCTTATTGTGCCTCATTTCTGAATTTCTTCTTGGATGGTTGTTGTAGGAAGTCATTTGTTTGTTCCTGGATGCTCAGCCATAAAATAATCACACAGAAACTATATTAATTAAATCACTGCTTGGTCCATTAACTCTAGATTCTTATTGGCTACCTCTTACATCCTAACTTAACCCATCTCTATTAATCTGTGTATTGCCACATGGCTGTGGCTTGCCAGCAAGTTTCCAGTTTTTCTGTTCCCAGCAGTGGCTACCTGGCATCTCTCTGACTCTGCCTTCTTTCTCCCAGCATTCAGTTTAATTTTCCCCACCTACCTCTATTCTGCCCTGTACAGGCCCAAGATAGTTTTTTTATTAACCAAAGATATTCACAGCATACAGAGGGGAATCCCAAATCACCTCCACTTTTCTGTTTAAATAAAAAGAAAGTTTTTAATTTTAACATAGTAAAATTACATATAACAAAACAGGTATCAAGCAAGAATTACAGTTACAATATTTATATCTACTTTATCTTTTATTATAACTAAAGAAAACTGTAATTATAACTATCTATTCTTCAACTCCACCAAAGACCCCCAGAAGACTATAATATTGCCTAAATAAACAGGAAATGCATTGTAAACAACTTCTAACTCTAGAATTGACAGAGACATCTTGCTGTCAGGACAGATACCCAAAATCCTTCTGTAACATTGGGGTATTGATCTTCAGTCTACATGCCCATAGTATCTGGCAGGTTTTTCCATGAAGCAGAAAGTTTCAAAGACAGTTTTGCCTACATTGACAGTTTTTCAGTAATTTTCTTCTGTATCCTGTAGAATGTCTGGCAGACTCTTTGGTGAAGCAGGAACCCTGAAGGACTATCTCACCTTTAGGCAAGATCAGCAGTCATTTCTCTGTGGGTCCTGCATGTCCAGTTCATACAGCAGAACATCAACCAGTCCAGGCAAGAGAAGTTTCTTGCCCAAATGGCTAACAAACTGCATAAGGAGGCTCTTCGAAGCCCATCATTCTCTTTAGGTAGATTGGTGCTGCCAGGAGCATATGTGTCTCATTGTCATGAAAAGTCCTAAGCTATTAAAACATTTTAAATGCCATACTCTGTAACTCTTTGAAGTGGTTGAAGAATACCTATCTATCTGAAATATATCTCTGTACATCTAGAAAAACCTGACTAACATGACTACAAGCTTGTCTACTATACATGATTGTCTATTAACCTATATTTCTTAATTATGCATTAAATTTTCAAATGAGCTGTATAAACACAATACCTTAATCAAGAACAGAATATATATATATACATATATATATATATATATGTATATATATACCACAAAATTGACCTTAAATTTGTATCAATAAACCAAGATCCATACCAATGAAAACTATCCACCTCTATAGCATATCCCTCTTTAAATGTAAACAAACATTTAAAAACAATATTTGACAATTTGAGCATAGTTCTCTCCAAGCTGCTTCCTGCTTTTTGTTGGGCAAAGTAATTTTGGGGGGTGTTTATAACAACCTTTCAGGGGGTCTTGGTCCATCAAACCACATTAGTCTAGAAGGATTCCACAGATTCTCATCCTCTGTGGAAACAAAAGAAGAACCTCTTTTCCTAAGCGACAAATCCTTAGACCCAAATTCTGGAATCAAGATATCTTTAAAATATGTATGCTGGTTTAGCTCAGCAGCCCATACAATGAAATATCTCTCTGTACTTAGCTCCTTCACAGTCAAAAAATTCAACGAAAACATAATAATATACATAATCCAGACTCTCTGTGTAAATTCCATCTTTATGTGGCTTATTTTTCTTACTCTATTACTTTTTCTACAAGTTTAACATTTATTATTCTTACTTCTTTAATCTATGACTGTCTGTACTCTTTTATACTACATTTACTGTCTCTTTACTCTTTTTCTTCTCTCTCCCAAGCCTACATACATTTTTTAAACACATTGTGTCTTATTTAGAGGTCTTTTATATCTGAATCTGTCCTATTGTGTATCTGTAATCTTTTTCTGTCCTGAAGAGCTTTGAAAGTGCTAAGCAGCTAAGCATCTTTACTAAGACTAAGGTTGCTTTGCCTTTTGGCTTCGCCCAGTCCAACATGGCAGGGCAGAGGTCTGTTTAGCACCAGTCATGCTCACAGCCCCATTTTCAGGTACACAGTGGGTCTATGTTGTCATTAAGCAAGTTGTAGCACTCTGTTTACAAACACCATTGAGTCAGAGCCATTCATTCTGGCAAACTAGGACAATGCTGTTTTGAAACCATGCAATTTTTGGGTTTGGGGTTTTTTTTGTTTTTGTTTTTGTTTGTTTGTTTTGTCACTGCTGAATCAGGAAGACCTCTCTTAAAAGATCTGCAGCATGCTGCCAGCAGCCAGCAGAATGCTAGCTACCAAGAAGTCATGCTTAATTAACTCTCTTCTTTTGTGTCTAGAATTACTTTTTATGCTTTCTCAGGTTTTATGTGGATTTAGTCAGCCCCACATTGGGCGCCAATATGTTGTAGGAGACTACTTGTTTGTTCCCAGTTGCTCAGCCCTGAAATAACCACACAGAAACTGTATTAATTAAATACTGCTTGGCCCATTAGCTCTAGCTTCTTATTAGCTACCTGTTACATCCTAACTTAACCCATCTCTATTAATCTGTACATCACCATGTGGCTGTGACTTACCGGCAAGGTTCCAGCTTGTCTGTTCCCGGTGGTGGCTACATGGTGTCTCTCTGACTTTCTCCCAGCATTCAGTTTAGTTTTCCCCCACCTACCTCTATTCTGCCCTGTGCAGATCTAAGACCTTTATTAACCAATGGTATTCACCACATATAGAGGGGAATCCCACATCAGATGGTGATAACCTGAAAAATAGAGGCCTCCTAAGGCATGTTTTTTGTTTGTTTGTTTGCTTGCTTGCTTGACCTAATCACAGGTTTTGATTAGACTAATAAGGCCTTTGTTGGCTTTGGTTACCCTTCCAAAGGGTTGCCATGTTTCCTTAATACAGTCAGAGGTCTTAACTAAGCATCCAAGACTACATCACTGATGAGCTCTCTGTCCCAAAGCTGAAGGATACTCCCTCTGTGAGACGACTTCTCTTCAGTTGTTGCTGCTCAAAGAAGGGATTAGTTCCTTTCACTCTGAAGTTCCTGGGTTCTCCCTTCCTCTGCAGCTCTGCTTTCGAACAGCCTGACTCTGGTTTTCTGTACACAGTTCTTTCTTGTAGTACCTTACAAACTACTGTTCCCCAGTCCATGATGCAAACACACAGCTTTGGATCCTCCTCTTCAAAGTGTGAAGCATATATCTATTATCTGGCATGCACCAATAATCTCAGCACTTAGTAGACTGAAGCGGGAAGATCTAGAGTTCAATGCGAGCCTGGGCCACTTAGTGAAATCCTGTCTCAAACTAAAAGAAAAAAAATCAGTGCAAAACGGTATGTTGTGAATGAAATGATACATTTAAGACTTTCTCATAAAGAAAAAAATTTTGAGACAGGATTGTATGTGGTCCTGGATAGCCTCAAAGTTGTTATGTAGTTGAAGATAATCATGCCTCCATCTGCCAAGTGTTGGGATTATAGGCATGTAGCACTATGTCTGGTTGATGTGGTGCTGGACTGTGTGCTTCTACACAAGCACTTTAACAACTAAGAAAGACTTATGGCTGGTGTTCTGATGGGGAAATCTCTGTCAGCCAATGAACTTTAAGAGGTGGGAGCAGGTTAGGGCATGACCTTAGACTGGCTCTCTCTCTCTCTCTCTCTCTCTCTCTCTCTCTCTGTGTGTGTGTGTGTGTGTGTGTGTGTGTGTGTGTGTGTGTGTTTCCCACGCAACACAGCTGAGCTTTAATTCTTGTTCCCTTATAATAAAAAAATATATAATTGGTTTATCTTGGAGTTAGCCTGGTATTATTTGACCTACACTATTTCAACAGTGTTCAGCATATGCAACAGTGTCTACAGGAAGAGCACATATGAGCACAAATGTAAACACATAAAAATTTCTTGTACCTTTTCAATATTTGCCATGTCACTCATGATTATTGAAAACTTTTTCTTTTTGAAGTCTATATAGAGTCCAGGCCCTTGCATATGCTAGGCAAGTATTCTACCACTGAGCTACATCAATAGCCTCTCAAAATGAAGATTAATAATTAGTCTAGTATGTCTAAGTACTTTCATTGAAATGTGTGCATAAGAAAAAAGCAGAACTTTCTTCTAGGGTCTGTACAGAAATATGAGCTCACCTAAGATAATATACATTGTTAAGATATATCAACTACAGGAAATATAATACGTTTACATTTCTTTATTTTGTTTGTAGTAATTTTTATCATTAGTTTTGGTGCTTTTGCTTTTTGTTTTCTTTTCTTTTCTTTTATTTATTTAGTTTAGTTTTTTGAGGCAGGGTTTCCCTATGTAGGCCAGGTTGACCTTGATCTCATAATCCTTCTGCCCTAGCCTTGAACAATGGGATTACAGGCATTCACCACCATGCCTGACTTGGTTCCCATGGTTTTTACATTGTTAGAAGATTATTTTAAGAATGCAATGCAAATTAAATATTTTCAGCAAAGGAAAGCCATAAAAGGGTCCTTTAGAACATAGTATGAGGATCATTGCAAATTTGCCTCCGAAATAAGAGTGTAGTTACTACTTGGGGAATAGACTGGGCTTTAGAAAGATGGATTCAGGTGGTAAAACCCAGGTCTTCCATGATAGCAACAAGTGCTCTTAACAATAAAGCCATCTCCCCCGCTCCTTAATTTCTTTTTATTTTTTTAAGTGAGCAAAGGCCTAAATACCAGTACATTTGTGTGCATACATATATATCCATATACTTAGAAAATTATATATAATATGCATTATAATATATATTAAGAGAAGAAAGGGCAGGGTGGCTCTAGTCAAGTGAAGCTAAGGGCTATAGAAAACCTATAGGTTGTAGACGTATAGCCCTCTGAGCAGCTGGGGATATGAGAGCTTCAGCTCTTACATTGGGAGGATTTGGGACATGCAGCCTAGGACCCATTAAAATCCATTCCTGATCCTCTGGGATTCACTGGTTTCATTCCAGTTCTTGACATCAAGATCTGAAAACAGATCCTCCAAAGTTTGTTTGTTTGTTTGTTTCTTTGTTTGTTGAAACAAGGACTCTTTCTATAGCCTAGGCTGGCCTGGAACTCACTATGCAGCACAGGTCAACTTTCTGTCCTCTGGTAGGGACAGGTTTACAAGGCATGCCTCTCCCCAAATAAAACAATCCCCACAAATATATCCACAGGCCAATCTGGTCTGGGAAGTCTCTCCACTGAGACTCCTTTCTCAGAAGACTCTTAGCCCGTGGTTTTCAACCTATGGGTCATGACCCCTTTGGGGTCAAATGACCTTTTCACAGGGGTTTGCCTAAGACCATCAGAAAACACATAGTTACATTATAATTCATAACAGTAAAAAAATTATAGTTATGAAGTAGCAACAAAAATAATTTTATGGTTGAGGGCACCACAATATGAGGAACTGTATATTAAAGGATTGAGCATTAGGAAGGCTGAGAGCCACTGTTCTAGGCAGTGTAGAATTGACAAAACTAGCCAGGATACTCCGCTCCTTGCCGAATTTGACACACAAATGTATCACTTTATGTCATAGCTTTCACTTTCCTGTCTCCCCCAACATAATACTATTTGGGAATTTTATACACTGTACCCCAATCACACTCACTCCCTATTCCTCCCAGGTCCATCCTCTCACATTTACATGCCCTCCTCCCCCCCCCAAAAAAAAACAAAAGAGAGACAAAAAAAACACCAAGTTTAATTTGTGTTGCCCATATACTCACAGGGTACAGACAAACTCCCAGTGGCCAGCCCCTAAGGAAAATGAGTCCTTCTCCCACCGCCCCCCCCACAAGAAGTCATCAACTGTGAAGAACTACACTTAGCATCTTTGTCATGGTTTCTAAGCACTCTCTGTGGTAGCTTCCCGACTGGATGGTTTCTTTGTGCGTGGGTGTGGAAGGGGGGTGTCTGTCATTCTCAGCTATGAGTCTGCAGTCATAGACAGCTCTATAAAAGAAGCTTCATTGCCCATAGCAGTCAAGTGGCAGCATGGACCATGGAGTCGCCACATCATTTCTGGTAGCAGCAGCACTGACTGTGGACTTCAAGATGGTTATGATGATCACGCACATCAACCTGGTCTGTGGTGGCAGCGCAGATCACAGACATCACAGTGCCCTCTAGTGGCAGCACGGATCACAGACCCGCAGACATCAACATGGTATCCAGCAGCAACACACCACAGACATCAACACTTCCTCCAGCAGCAGCACAGATCACAGACATCAATATGGCCTCTGGCAACCAGCAGCATGGTGCAGTGAGATTTCTTCTGTATTTTAATAAAAAAAAAAAGCTTGCCTGAGGTTCAGAGAGTAAAACAGTTGCACTGACCAACCTTCAGGCCAGTGGTAACACACACTTTTAATCCCAATAGCCACACTAGCTGCCATAGAAACTAGACGGTGTGCACCTTTAATCCCAGCCCTAGAGAGGAATATAAAATGGGAGGAGACAACTCTCAGAGACATTCTCATCCTGAGATTCCTGGAGGCAGAATTGCCATTTCAGACTGACGTAGAGCTAAGAGCCAGTAGCTGGCTATTTTCCTTTTCTGATCTTCAGAGTGAACCCCAATTTCTGTCTCTGAGTTTTTGTAACATGAGGACCTGCTTGTTGGGGTTTCTGTCCTGCCCAGTTCCATGGCTGGCAAGTCCCAAAGAAAAATCACACAGAGGTCTCCATAAGTTATAAACTGATTGGCCCATTAGCTCAGGCTTCGTATTAGCTCTTATAACTTATATTAGCCCATTATTCTTATCTGTGTTAGCCACATGGCTCAGTACCTTTTTCAGCAGGGCAATCACATCCTGCTTCTTCAGTGGATGAACCAGGACTGCAGAGGAATGGGCTTCCTCCTTCCCAGAATTCTCCTGTTCTCATTGACCCACCTCTGCTTCCCGTCTGGTTGTCCCACCTATACTTCCTGCCTGGGTACTGGCCAATCAGCATTTATTTAAAATATAATTGAGAAAATACAGAATTGTCCCGCACCAGGTTTTTATTAATCATGCTATAGCATGGACCACGGAAGTCTTTTAAGGAGACTTAATCCAGAAAATGAGCCTTTCTTTATCTCAAATATCTCAGTGCTCAGAGCTGGGCAGAAGCATGTCCCGGGACAGGGCTGGGCGAGCTCGAGGCTGCCATACACCACGCTGCCCTTGGTGCTGGACGCCCTGCCTGTACCCCAGGCACGACCACCGTGTTCACAGGGCAACCGTCATGAGCAGGGGCAGCAGCAGTGACTCCATGCCGTGGAGCAGACCAGCGGGCACTGGCACTGGCCCAGCAGGTGGCAATGGGGCAAGACTGGCCTGACGGTAGCCCGAGCCTCCCGGCGGCTAGAGGACCAGCTCTACTTGACGGTGACACGCTCCTTTGTCCATGCTCCCCTACCTATTGCTGCCACCTTGTCTCCAGCTCCGCTTTTCTCTGCTGCTCAAGTTGCTCTGTTCTGCCATCTTTTCTTTCCAATCCTATGAAGCCATGTTTAAAAGCATCTTCCCACAAGACCTGCCTTTTTCAGTTGGTCATGAGACACTGCACACTCGGCACACTTCTCCGCCGCCCTATCTCCCCTCAAAGCCTCCATGGGTCTCTCAGGCTCTGTGGAGTGACCCCAAGGCCCGGAGGGTGATGACAGCTGCCACCATCTTTTCTATCTCCTCTCAGCTTCCTTTTCTTATTTCAAAGATCTCATGTTAATATTGTAATATGAAATATAATACAGCCAGGCCTGGTGATGAAGGCCTTAATCTCAGCCCTTGAGAGGCAGAGACAGGTGAATCTCTGTGAATTGTAAATCAGCCTGAGTTCTGGGACAGCCAGGGCTACATAGAGAGAGACCCTGTCAATAAAAATAAAACACTATGCAATGTGGCGGTATAAAAGTCTTTTACAACTTCAACGCTTAAAAAGTCCCATGTCCTCCTTAGAAATCCAGCATCTCTTAGCTGTGAGCTCCTAAAAATCAAAAACAAGTTATATACTTCTTATTACAAAAAGAAATAACTAGGGCACAAAGATTATCAAGGCAAAACCAACCCAAACCCAGCAATGAAATCCAAAATATGTGGCTCAGTGTCTGACATCTGGGGCTCACTTGTAATCTTTTGGCTCCAAAAGGCTTGGGCACCTCCAGCTTTCCCATCAAAAGCACAAACAGCTTGTCTTACAGGCTTCGGCCGACTATGTCACACCTGTCACTGTCTTTAGAGGACCACCCTGTGGTCCTTAGGTCTCTATTGCAGCCAAGACTGTACCTTCACCAAAGACATCTCTTGACCTCACCACAGAGACTCCAACCTTCCACACACTGACAAGCCTCATGATCACCTCATGCCTTCGAAAACAGTGTCACCCTGGTGGATCACATACCATGAGCCAAACGCTGCTGTAAGCTTGAAATACTGCCCAAACCCTTTGGACCAGCTCTATGTGCTGACTCTGAGGAAATATCTTCCTATCCTGTCAATGGGGCTGATCTCTTATTCATAACAGCTGATTCTTCAGTCCAGCTGATTAGCTCACATAGATTATTAGCCAAAATATCATACAAATGCCCCCTAGCCAAGCCCCAGTAGGGTCCTTGCCCCACCCTACCCCCAAACTTCACAAGCCAGGCCTCTGCAGTTAACATTCTCTCAGCATTACTATCTGCCCAGCTCCCACAGCAAGGGTTCTTTAAGCCCCGAACACTCAATGGCTTTTCTAACCCAAGTTCCAAAATCTTCTGCATTTCTCCAACAAGAGAGTCCAAATGCGTCAAAAGCCATATGGTCAAGCCCGTCACAACAGCAGCCCAATTTCCGGTACCAGTTCCTGTTCTCGTTCACTCTCTGCTGCTGTGCTCCGACACTCTGATACAAAGCAACGTGGAGACGAAAAGTTTTCTTTGGCCTACGAGGCAGGTCAGGAACTTAAACAAGAACTTGAAACAGAGCCATAGAGGAACACTGCTTCCTGGCTCGTTCACGGGCTCGTGCCTAGCTAGCATTCTTACACATCCCAGAACAACCTGCCCAGGGAATGGTGCTACCCACAGTGGACCCGACCCTATTCTGTCAATTCCCCAGCAAGATAATCCCATAGGGACATGCCCACAGGCAAGTCTCATCTTCTCACCTGGTAAGTTCCTCAACTGAGGCACAGTTTCAAGTGACTCTGGGTTGTTTCAAGTTGACAGTTAACAATAACTAGGGGGAAAAAAACAACTAGAATAAACTCTATGCTGCCGTGGCTGCAGCAGAGACAGACCTCGCATATCCACGTGGACAGCACCCTTTTCAGGTCCGATGGCAGCCTTGGCTCTTTCCCAGCCTGTATTGGCTCCCGTGTGGCCAAACCTTACATCAACTCAATGAGCAGCCTCTAGGGACGGCTGAGAGCAGATGGCCTATATTTTAGTAAGGACATCTGCCTCTTGGTTTCCAGAAGGACTCAGTGGACTATGGGTTGCCATATGGAAACTACTAGAAGTTCTGACTCCTAGTGAACTCTGTTATCTATTTCCTTCCACATCTGTTGTTGCCATGGCAGCCAACCCAGCAGGCTAACCATAAAATTAGGCCTCTGGAAACAGACCAATTGTCCGTACAGATGGCCACAGGCCAAGCCTCCTCCATACAGAAGCCCACTGTCTGTTCCTTCCTTCTCTCGCCCCATGTTATTAGCATTTATCTCTATTGCTATACTCACACATTCCAGCCTCTTGCCTTTACCTGAGCCACAAGTGACCGGGCATCCGTGAGCAAATAGTCAGCACTGACTCCGGAACCTCATCGCCTGGTTTGGTTGTTGCTTCGGTTATGGATGGAAGCTCAGAGATGTCAAAAGACACTGGGCCCGTGGCTAGAGATGGGCCAGTGACTAAGAGCGCTTACTGGGGATTGCAGAGGACCCATATTTTGTTTCCCGGATCTGTTGCCCCCTTCCAGCCACTCTGGACTCCTACGTGCACGTGGTACAGAGACATACATGATCATACGTTGAAAAGTTTCAGGTTTAAAAGTCACTGGCTGTGGCCCAGCAGTCCTGGCATTGGGGGCATGAACACAGTATTAGTCACTTTTCTCACAGCCATGACCAAATGCCTGGCTCAAGCAACTTAACAAAGGAAGCCTTTGTTCGGCAGCTTAAGGGCATGGGAGGAAAGGTGTGGCCTCGGGATCTGGAGGGTCAGCAGCATTTCATCTGCAGGCAGTTTGTGTAGAGCCATGGATGCTGGCACTCAGCTTTCTTCCTCCTTTGTATGCAGTCCAGGACCTCGGTCCACGGAATGGTAATGGACATTCAGGATGGGTCTCACCTCAAATAACCTAATTATGTCATCTCTCACAGACATAACCAGAGGCTCACCTAATCTAGACGGAGATGATCTCTTCGGTTATTCTAGATGCATCCGTTAACACTGCTGGCAATGTATACCATCACATTAGGCATGGTGGTACATGCCTATAATCCCAGGATTTCTGGAGGGGCAGCGGGTGTGGAGGCCGGAGGATCAGGAGTTCAAAGTCATTCTCAGCCACATGATGATTGTGAGGCCACCTTAGCTACATGAGATCCTGTCTCAAAGAAAAGAAAAGGGACAGGCTGGAGAGATGGCTCATCAGTTAAGAGTATTGCCTGTTCTTCCAAAGGTCCTGAGTTCAATTCCCAGCAACCACATGGTGGCTCACAACCATCTGTAATGAGGTCTGGTGTCCTCTTCTGGCCTGCAGGCATACACGCAGACAGAATACTATAAACATAATAAGGAAATAAATATTTAAAAAAAAAAAGAAAGAAAGAAAAGAAAAGGATCTTAGATGGGAGGTGGTACATATGGTGGTGTCCAGACCGAGGACAGCCCCTCCAACATTAACAAAGCTATAGTCCAACCAGGTCTGGTGACACACCTGTAATCCCCATACTCAGGACGCTGAAGCAGGATGATGGAGTGCCAGGCCAGACTCGACTATATAAACAAGAAACCATCTCCAAACAAAACAAGAAAGTTGGCTCCGATGATTGTTCTATTCCCTACCCACTGCCCATCTTCGATTCTTTAATTCAATTCCACTTTATTCATTATCTCTGCGTGATAGGTTCCAGTAATATACTTAGTGATCAATAAAAATTTTTGAATTCAAACTCTGTCTCATCTCGCTCTCTCTGTGCCTGTTCCAGAAACAGCGACTCAAAGAACAAAGCTCCACCTGTGTTAAAGAGGCTGCAAGGCTGATCGACTGACCAGAACCGTCGTGATCGTGGAGAACTGGGATGTTGTCCTCCGGAGCCACATTATCTTGGGCTATCTTTAGTCCCCTTAATAGTCATTCATTGCTCACTTCTGTGTTTGACCTAGCCTCTCTGTGGCATTATGTAAATCTCTTGGAACATCTAAACAGGCCCCTGGCCTCCACCAACACAGAGGCTGAGAACGACATCAGAAGCACCTGAGACCTAGAGCAGACGTCCCCCAACTTGGCAGCAACACACCTGCCCGATCTTTCCACTAATATATTCTTAAACACCTTGATTTATGACTGTGTTCTGCTACTATAAAAACTTCACGAAACTGTTACGCTAGAGCATGGTATTTGGGGCAACCTGGTTCCCTGTCCCCAGAGCACGGTCATTCATATTCCGCTCCAGAATAAACCACTTCTTATTCCCTTTGGGGCGAGAGCCGTGTTTTTATGTCGGCAGTGCCAACAATCCTGAGGGTCCAGCTTCTGCCTCCCTCCCATCCTCTTGGTCTCAGCTGTACCAACCTGATGCTCTCTCTGAGACCCTTCATGTATGGATAGCAGTCATCTTTTTCAACTTTGTCTTGAGGGTTAGAAGCAAGGACAGACAAGACCACCTCTGACACCTTTTGAAACAGAAAGTGAAAAAGCACCAGGTAGCATATTTGCAGACGGAATGGGGGAAGGAGACAGGGGGTGTCCAATGAAGAAGTGATGGAGGAAGGAGATGGGGGTGCTCAATGAAGAAGTGATGGAGGAAGGAGATGGGGGTGTTCCATGAAGAAGGGATGGAGGAAAGAAACAGGGGGTGTCCCATGAAGAAAGGATGGAGGAAGGAGATGGGGGTGTTCAATGAAGAAGGGATGGAGGAAGGAGACAGGGGTGTTCAATGAAGAAGGGATGGAGGAAAGAAACAGGGGGTGTCCCATGAAGAAAGAATGGGGGAAGAAGATGGGAGCTGACCCATGAAGAAAGGATGGAAAGGATGGGGGAAAGATACAGGGGCTGTTCCATGAAGAAGGGATGGGGGAAGGAAGCAGGGGTTGTCCCGTGAAAAAGGGATGGGGGAAGAAGACAGGGGCTGTCCCATGCAGAAAGGATGGAGGAAGAAGGGAGAGGCTGTCCCACGCAGAAGGTGTCTCCATGTCATTTGTAGATATTGGTTAAAGCTTGGCGTTTCGGATCACTTTGGAATCCAAGCATACTAAAGGTCTTTCTTCTCATCTGAAGGTGTGTGGGAATAAAACAAGTACGTTGTATTTTTACTGGTTGGACGGGTATGGAAGTAGAACTCTACTACAGATGCGTTCAACTTATTTAATGCAGGAACACAGATGGAGATTCAAGTAACCAATACAAATGGGGGGGGCGCATATTGGTTTGGTTTGACTTTGCTCTTTTGACACAGGGTCTTATATTGTTCCTGGGAAAATCGGGGTCTCCTCTCAGTGGTCTTTGTCTCATGTTGGAAGAATTTGAGGATGGACTCAGTCAAATTAACCCTTCAGCTTCTGAGAGAAGGCAGATGAAGGGAAGGAAGGGAGAAAGCCATGCCAGAGTAAGCAGCCACATAGTGGAACGGTGGGATAAATAACTTAGAAGAAGAAGAGAGCCCAGGATGTCAGGGAAAGCAAAGCATGCCCAGGCTGTGGAAGAAGAAAAAAGGAGGGGTGTTTGTTTGTTTGTTTGTTTTAAGAAAAAGTTATATTTTTCTGGGTCTCAAGATTTAGAAATATGGGTGTTCCCAACAGAGTCTCATGCTGGTGCTATAGCAACTGCACAGAGGTCAGGAATTCTGGGAAGGAAAAAGGGATAAATACTCCTCCTATTCCCTTAGCTACCAGGCGAACCCATCTCCCTGAGAGGTGGTCCCATCTTCCTCCCAAACTGGAATGGGGTCTTCATCCAGGCTAGAGACTTCAGTTCCTTGATGAGAAAGAAATAATTGTCCCATTTAATGGACTTCCAATGCTACTGCAATAATATAATCCAGGCTGGCCTTGAACTCCAGACCCTTCTGCCTTGCCTCCCAAGTGCTGAGATTAGAAATATACACCACCCACCACCACCCTCAGCAAAACAGGAAGTTAGGTATGAGTGGAAGCCAGGCATAGTGATAATGTACTGTAATCTCAGCCCCTGAGAAACTGGAGCAGGAGGACTGCCAGTTCAAGGCCAGTCCATGCTGGCTACTTCCTGAGTTACAGATATGCCTGGGCTATAGAATGCAATTTGTTTCAGAAAGACAAAGAGCCAAGGCTAGAAACATGGTTCAACAGTTAAGAGCACTGATTGCTCTTCCAGAGCACCAGAGTTCAACTCCCAGCAACCACATGAAAACTTACAACTGTCTAATTTCAGTTCCAGGGGATCTGATGTCATTTCCTGGCCTTGATCGACACAAGGCACACGTGTGGTATGCAGACATACATGCAAGCAAAATACCTATATACATATGGGGAGGGGAGAGGAGGGGATGGGGAAAGGAGAAGAGGAGAGGGGAGGGTGAAGAAAAGAGAAGAGAAAGGGAAGGAAATGGAAAGGAAAGGAAGGGTCAGGTATAGTGGAATACAGTTTTAGCCCCAAAACTTGTTAGGCAGAGGCAGGTGGATCTCTAAGTTTCAAGTCATCCCAGGAACTATAGTGAGAACCTGTCTCAGAAAAAGAAGGAAGAGGATGATATAGCTCAATCAGTAGAGTGTTTGCCTAGTATTCATGAAGCCCTGGGGAAGACCCCAGCTCACCATAAACCGATGACAGTGGGGCATGCGTGTAACCACAACTCTTGTGAAGTGGAAAAAAGAGGACCACTGGGACTAGAGAGATGGTGCAGAAGAGTGCTGTCTGCTCTTTCAGAGGTCCCGAGTTCAAGTCCCACCGACCACATGGTGGCTCACAACCATCTATAATGAGATCTGGTGCCCTCTTCTGGCATGCATACATGCAGGCAAAACACTATATACATAATAAATAAATCTTTACAAAGAAGGAAGGAAGGAAGGAAAGAAGGAAGGAAGGAGATCAAAAGTTCAAGGTTATCCTTGGCTACATAGTGAGTTCTAGGCCAGCCTGGACTACCCTGTTGGAAATCAAGAAGCAGCAGCTATGAGTGGGAAACTCAGAATAAGTAGCTTTAGTCTGGTGCTATAGGCATGTCCTTCTTGAATGTGACCACAAAAGAGCCTATTGAGAGGATGTTTGTTCACCCTCCCAGCCTCCGACATTAGACCAAGAACTGCTAAAGAGATGAATACTTTTCATTGGTATGAATCTTGGTTTATAGATACAAATTTAAGGTCAATTTTGTTGTATGTATATTTCTGCTCTTGATGAAGTTATTGTGTTTGTGCAGCTCATTTGAAAATGTAATACATAACTAAGAAATATAGGTCAATATTCAACTATACTGTAATCATGTTAGTTAGGTTTTCTAGATGTACAGAGATTTTTTTCAGATGAATAAGTATTATTCAAGCCTTTCAAAGACCTTCAGAATATGACATTTAAAATGTTTTATTTAAGAACTTAGGACTTTTCATGACAATGAGACACATCTGCTCCTGGCAGCACCAATCTACTTCAAGAGGATGATGGACATCAAAGAGGCTCCTTATGGAGGTTGTGAGCCATTTGGGCAAGAAACTGCTCTTGCCTGGATTGTTTGATGTTATGCTGTTTAAAATGGACATGTAGGACCCACAGAGAAATGACTGCTAAACTTGCTTAAAGGTGAGACAGTCCTTCAGGGTTTCTGTTTCATAAAAGAGTCTGCCAGACATTCTACAGAATACAGAAGAAAGTGACTAACAAACTATCAATAGAGGCAAAACAGTATTTCAAATTTCCTGCTACATGGAAAAGTCTGTCGGATACTATGGGCTTGTAGACTGAAGATGGATGCCCCGATGTTACAGAAGAACTTTGAGTGACTGTCCAGGCAGCAAGATGTCTTTGTCAATTCTAAAGTTTTAGAAGTTGCTTGCAATGCACTTCCTGTTTTCTTAGGTAATATTATATCCTTCTGGGGTCTTTGATGGAGTTGAAGAATAGTTATAATCATAGTTTTCCTTAGTTACAATAAAAGATAAAGTAGGTATAAATATTGTAACTGTAATTCTTGCTTGATACCTGTTTTGTTATATGTAATTTTACTATGTTAAAGTTAAAACCTTCCTTTTCATTTAGACAGAAAAGGGGAGATGATGTGGGATTTCCCTCTGAATACTATGAATATGTTTTATTATTAAAGAAGCTGCTTCAGCCAATAGCTTACCAGAGTAAAGCCAGGCAGGAAATCTGAACAGAGATATAGAAAGAAAGTACTCAGAGTCAAAGTTTGCCATATAGTTGCTGAAGGAGAAAGATGTGAGTGCCAGCCAGAACCTTACCAGTATGCCACAGCCTCATGGTGATACACAGATTAATAGAAATGGATTAATTTAAGATGTAAGAGGTAGTTAGAAATATGCATGAGCTAATTGGTCAAGCAGTGTTGTAATTAATATAGTTTCTGTGTAATTCTTTCAGGTCTGGGCATCCGGGAAACAAACAAGCAGTCTCCACCAACAAGGAACTCCTTTCTTCAGTTCTTCCTCACTTAAGAATCCCACCCATTCCTTTTAGTTTCACCTCAAGGAAGATGTCTTAGTTAAGGTTTAATTTCTGTGGAGAGACACCATGACCACAGCAACTCTTTTTTTTTTCTTCCAAGACAGGGTTTCTCTGCAGCTTTGGAGCCTGTCCTGGAACTAGCTCTTGTAGATCAGGCTGGCCTCGAACTCATAGAGATCTACCTGCCTCTGCCTCCCGAGTGCTAGGACTAAAGGTGGGTACCACCACTGCCCAGCTTCACAGCAACTCTTATAAAGGAGAACATTTAACTAGGGCTGGCTTACAGTCTCAGAGGTTTAGTCCATTATCATCATGGTAGGACATGGAGGCATGCAGGCAGACATGGTAATAGAGAAGCAGCTTGGTGAGGGACAGTTGTCTGTACTCTGTCAATTATATTTTAAATAAACACTGATTGGGGAGTAGCTAGGCAGGAAGTTTAGGCAGGACAACCAGACAGGAAGTAGAAGAGGGTCAATGAGAACAGGGAAATTCTTAGAAGAAGGAAGTTCCTTCTGAGGTTGTGAGCCCACCACAGAAGAAGCAAGATGTGATTTCCTCACTGAAAAAAACGTACTGAGCATGTGGCTAGCATAGACAAGAATAATGGGCTAATATAAGTTATAAGAGTTAATAAGAAGCCTGAGCTAATGGGCCAGTCTGTTTATAGTTAATGTAGACCTCTGTGTGATTTCTTTTGGGACTAAACGGCTGGGAGACCAGG